ATATTCATTTCTAATATGGAAAATATAAATTCTATTTATGAATTGAAGTTTAACCAATAAGAACCATGCATTTAAAGGAGATTATGATGGAGTTTTGTTCTCTGAACTCAATGGTTTGGTCATGGAGCTTTCATCGTTCTTCTGAACGACAACATCAGCACAAACTTCAGATACAAGTGAAGTGTTCGAATTTCGAATCGAGGTGTACAGAACAAGCTATGAAACGCATATGGAGAAATTCGAACGCTTCACTTGTATCTGAAGTTTGTGCTGATGATGTCGTTCAGAAGAACGATGAAAGCTCCACGACCAAACCATCCAGCTCAGAGAACAAAACTTCATCAAAATCATCCACCTGAGTTACAGATCTTCTCCATCATCTCAAAGGAGATTAGTTGTGAATTTCTAGTCTAAATGGAATGGATAATGTGACATTTAAGAGATCATTTGAACATTGTGTTGGTGAACAAGTAAGAATCTATAATCGAATTAATGTATGTTTTATATTCACAATTTCATTACTCATTTTATTTGTCTGTATAAAACATTAGTGGATCCAGTACTAACACATCATCATTATCGTCAGTTTAACACCATCATTGTAAACTTAAGATAGATGAACAAGGATTTAACTCTCGATACTCTTGACAATCAAATAGATTACATTCAATCTGTCGTTAACAATTTTCAATCAATTTCTTCATATAATGAATCAATTATGTTATTATGTGTTTAACCTCATTATTTTGTACTAGTGTATATGTGTATTTGTTTAACTCTACAAAATTCATTCATTTATTACTTGACTAGATCTTTATCAAAAATGAGAATTCATTGTGATGTAACCCCCAAAATGTCATGGTATGACCGAGGGTGGGGAGAGTCAGCTCTCACATTCGAAATGCTCTCACGTGGCCATGGTAAAATATTTCCATCATTGTTAATAATACTATCTCACAGATTGAAATCATGAGTCAATTGAAGCTAGACCACCATGGAAAACCTTGAAGCACTGGACGGTCGTTTCGTCCTAGTATGGGACTCCTCAGCAGTGCGCGAGACTGATAGGTCCTGGGGTGCGTGATCGTGGATGCGCATTGCTGAGAAGTCCAATACTAAAACGAAACGGACGTCCAGTGCTTCCTGGTTTTCCATGGTGGTCTAGCTTCAATTGACTCATGATTTCAACCAGTGAAATTTCTAAAATCTCCACAAACCCCTTCTGATAATAATACTATCTGATATATATGTATATTTAAGATTAAATAGCAAACTGGAGCAATCCGGTTAGAATGTTCAAATGTCAATACAGTTTGATCATTTTCAATCATTTAAATGAATAGCAAGAAAATATATACACGTTTACAAATCTTACATATAACAACATTATCATAATCACATTGAAGATTGATCAATTTTTTTTTCAATGTTATTGAACCTTTTCTACACTTTGTCATATTGTAAAGAAAGAAAAATGTTTAATCAATGTGATTATTATGTAAGAGATGATGGAGAATATTTATAGCTCAAGTAAATGACTTTGATGAAGTAAGTTTTGTCTTCTGAGCTGAATGATTTGGTTACATTTATGATTTGATCCAAGCTAGAATATCATTAAAAACCTGGAAGCATTGGATGATCGTCGCGTCCTAATATAAGACTCCTCAAAAGTGCGAATTTATTCATTCCTCTCACGTAGGAACTCGAACCCAGGACCTTCGATTTCACGCACGAATGTTTAACCTACAGACCACTGTGCTGGAATCCAACAGTGTTAATGTTTAACTTCAATCGGTTCATGATCTTACATAATCCTTCATCCATTGTCTAAGGTGGATAACTGTTTTTCAAAAGTCACTGTTGAAACATCCTACTAACTTGTCACATATTCATAGTAAATGGAAATTGAGTGAACATAATCTTGTCCTAGTTACAGAAACTGTCCTAGAATAAATTAATCATATTAAGTATTACCGGTTCATTTACTATCATTTAGTAAGCCAATTTCATTCCACTTACATAAACCAAAAGAAGAAATTTTTATTAGCTCAAGTGGATGCATTTGTATTGAACGCAGTCTTGAGGATGATGACCAATTTACTTTGATAAAATATGAAAACTATGTGTTAAATACATAATCTGCGCATCTCCCATTAGTTGTCCTTTACATGCTTCATGGTTCATGCAGTTCTTTGATTGAGATCATGAACCGATCGATGTGAGACCACATTTGGAAACCTGGAATCACTGAACAGCCGTTTCGTCCTATTGTGGGACTCCTCAGCTGTGCGCATCCACGATCCCGCTCGCGGGATTCGAACCCAGGACCTGTCGGTCTCGCACACGAACGCTTAAACTCTAGACTTGGCAACTGTCCCTCTATCAATAGTTTGCCTAAATACCACTTGTGATTGTGCTTCAGTAGTTCATAATACTTTACTTACTTACTATCGTGAAAGCCAAGTCAAGTGCCTACTTGTTGGTTATAATTCGTGCTAGGAAATAGATATTCATTTTAACATTAATTGCCTCAAAAGTTGTAGAATCAGATAGTTCACACTTATCGAATAAACAGAAGTGTACTAGATTGCAGGTGATGCAACCCTATCTCAGGTCCTGTAGTTGAACTCACGAAACCAGAATAATCTTTTTTTCACTCGCGAAAGGAGGTACACTGAGACAGTTACACATAAAGAAGACAGGCTAATACTATTGATTGAATTTCGAGACACGTTCCGTGGTTGAAAATGTAACTTTATATTTTAAGCGAGGAATATATATATATATATATATATATATATATATATATATATATATATATGACTGAGTGTAAAAATATTCGCGATTAGATTTTAGTCAACAAACCTTCCTTCTTACTCAAGCCTCCGGTTTGATCTAATATGTAGTCGGCTTGTAGATCAGTATCAAAGTTAGACAATCTCACAACATAATAGTACACTAGTGCATTTGTATTGATTGTCTGGATCTTTCTATCGTTGTTTATAGCGGCACTGAGTTGAGTCTTGGAGTAAACATCAAATCTAGGGATACAGGTACTTTCGATTGACAGGTCCCAAATAAGAAGGAAAATGCGTCTTTGATTCCTTAGTTAGCCAACATCCACGTCTGTTTCTAATTGTATACTTTTTTTCTACTGAAAATACTCTACTTCTGTGGTAAAGTATAGGTTACAGTCATGAGAATAATTTAATGAATCAAAACTACAGTGTTGAGAAACGCAGTTATCTGCAATAGCCACTATGAATCAACGTTCAAACTGCCATTACATCCAACGTTGTTGATTTGAATGTATACCACATAGATTTATTCAAGAATTATTTGGTAATAAGAAAGCCCACTACCAAAAAAACATGAGCTCATCATTTTCTGGACAGATTCTTTTAGATATCTACATCCTTAGGCTGTAAATTTCATTTCATCTTACTAAACTATTGCTTACTTACTTACTTATGACTGTTATCCCCAATGGAGCATAGGCCGCCAGTCAGCATTCTCTAACCCATTCTGTCCTCGACCTTCCTTTCTAGTTCTATCCAATTCTTGTTCATTCTTCTTATATCTGTCTCGATTTCTCGACGTAATGTGTTCTTTGATCTTTCTCTTCTCCTTTAGCCTTGAAGATTCCAAGTAAGAGATAGCCTTGTTGGGTGCTTTCCTCAATATGTGTCCTATCCATTGTACTATTATTAAATATATATAAGTATTACAAGAAAACAATCCAGACATTCTAACTTTGTTTTAAAATATTTCGATCTCATCTAGACAATCTATTCAAAAACATAAGAAATTTCACTATCGAAACTCATTTTGTTGACAATTTAGACTGTAAATAAAACCTCTGTCTAGTATATATTTAAACTTATGATCTAATTGTTAAAATGTAAATACCTGAACTATGGAAATCATTGATTGTTTTCAACATAAAACTATTTCATTGTCAAGATTTGTTTACTCACACACACACACACAACAAACATTTTATAAATGGTATTACTTAAAGGTAAATTATACTATCCTAAATCTAAACATTTTAATATATATATGTTGAGGAGATCCAGAGTATTTCTCGTAAAATCCCAAAGGCACACTGAAAACACTTGGAAAACTTTTGATTCATCTGAAATATGAATATATAAAGTAACCATGGAGTAATGCGGTTCGTTCTATATTTCACATTTGTTCTCTTGTATTCAAGTTGTCTTGTAGATTTAGTCTGTGTTATGACTTTATGCACGGCTTTTCATTACGTGATTTATTCACCAATCAAAATATGTCTTATACAATCTTCGCACTATAACAAACCATTGACTTTCAACCGGTATGAACAGTCTAGAGTCCTTATTGGTCCTATGTCTACCTAGCCCGTCCACTTGAGTACAGAACACCAAATATCAGCTTCCAATGTGTGAATTGAATCGAATCATTTATTTCAGATATACTGGGTTTATATATCAATCAAACAGATCGCAACACACCATGAAATAGAAAATAACATTTGTACACAATAAAGCCAAAAAATGACTGTAAACGTGAGAGGCAGTAGTCAATAAACTGAACATAATTTAAGGACAGTAAATCGTACAATAATAAATTATAGGCCAAAATGAAGCTTATAATAAGAGGAATATAAATAGACATAATCTAACTATTGAATAGTTATACCATAAGAATGTATAGATAATATTAGTCAATTAATATGTCTCAGAAGTTACTCGTGATTTAATCTTCGCTCGTATATAACAGTCTGAGGTTATAGGAAGAGTTAAGGAAACCGATTAAATCGTTGAACTAGAAGATTTATATCAGTTTAATGGACATGATATATATCTACAGTCATTTTGATTCATAGTCATGTCATTCCAATTATTATTAACTTAGTGATTATCTCTGCACTTTTATGCGAATGATGTAATCAACTAATGATGTTTTATTATTGTTGTTGTTTTTGTTGTTGATTTAGATGTAAAACTGAACTTCAAATGAATTTAACTCCTTTTCAAGATGATTTATTAAATCAATTCAAATCACTTGGACAATTACTCGCTCCATTTGAAGATGGCGGTATTTTAAATTATTTATTTGAACAAATTACTATTAATAGTAGTAACAGTAGTAGTATTGATAGTAGTCTATTACATAATGATATGACATCGATTTATGATAATCAATCAATAACATTATTAAAATTGATTGAAATCAATGATACATTTACATTTTTAAGTAATACAATTAATTCTATGTTATTTCATAGTATACAAAATATAAATGTCTATAATGTATTATTAATGAATCAAAATGAATTCAATACAACATTTATAAATAGTCAGAAACCATTTGTAACTAGGAAATTTATTGTCTTGATTATTATTGAAATTTTATTGATTTTTATTTGTTTTTTATTAAGTATGTGTTATTTAATATTCTTATATCCACCTAATTGTATTCAACGAAAATCATCATTGAATTATATAAAATATTTAAAAATTAAACAAGTTTTAAGAGATCCAAAGTATAAGAATGATATGAATAATTCTAATATAACTGATATGACATCAGATAGTTTATCAAATAAATATATACAAAATAATGAAATGTCAAGATATACTACTGAATGGATGTTTAGAAATGAAGAAAATATTTCAATCAATTCATCAGATATTTATATTAATGTAAGTGAACTTGATTGTTTTTGAAAATCTCCCGAATATTTTCGTTATATAATTATGCTACTTTTTTATTATTTAGTAGTATATATTTTCTTGCAACATACTGGGGATATCATAGAGGAAGAATGTATTTATAAACTCTTAGCGAAAGAATTTGAAGTAAATCCAACGTTTCACTAGGCAATCTGGTCCAAACGTTTTCAAGGAAAATATAATCAAACAACAAAATTCGATTTTACAAATACATCCTTCCACTTTGATGTCTTACATTAACTCGGCGCCCAAATATTGTGAAACTAATCGTTCAAATTTAGACGAAAGTTCTTATTTATACTGGGGCTATCATTTTGTATTGGTTTTTTTGAATCTTCCCATTGATGTTTAGGACCAAAATTGATCAGTTTCTTATTGGTATACGTGTATCTTGTGCGGATTGCTTTGATATTGCCTTAAGTCACAAGCACTACATACAGAGATGGATCGTGGCTAATAGTGGAATCAGTTGGAAACAACGAATACTAAAATGAATGAAACTTCACAAGTTAGTGTTTATCTAAACTCAGTAGCTAAATGAAAACAGAGATTGAGTTTAAAGCGAACGATACTGGGTTCGTGTTTTGGAGTGAACATCAACTCTGAGATGCAGGTACATCCGGCTGACGACTCTCAAATGAGACGAAACACGCGTTCTGGACTCCACTGCCAGCCACCACCCATCGCTGCTTAAAAATGACAGTTTTTATTGGTTTTATCCTACTTGCTTAATTTAGCGGGAATAATCACGTTTTTCATTAGTCTTTATCCATATTCCCATATATGTTGGAAGATCGAGATTCCATATCGATAAATTCAGTAAGAGGATTCTTATTTCCGTAATTTGTATACTTATATTTCGATTTATGATCATTTCAAACAGAAAGCATCCTTATCTTTGAAATGAATCAATTATTTCGAAGGTGAATGACGCATTGGATAGGCAAGTTTACATATGTTTTCTTTGAGTCAAAAAGCATACTATCTCACTAATCACGCAATTTGTATTGAAGTTAAATATTAATATTTACTTACTTACACCCGTTACCTCTAGTGAAGGGGCTTAAGGCCCCTTACCACCATTCTCCATTGAACTCTGTCCTGAGCAATCCTTTCCAGTTATTTCCAGATGTTATTTGTTCTTTCGATATCTGCTTCCAATTCTCGGAAAATCGTGTCTCCTCGTCTTCCTCTTTTCCGCTTCCTTTCAGGATTCCAAGTTTGGGCTTGCCTCGTGATGCCCTTTGGTGATTTTCGTAATGTATGTCCTATTTACCTCCAAAGTCCTATCCTAATTTCCTCTTCAGTTAGAAGCTGGTTTGTTCTCTGCGATAGTAAGTTGTTGTTGGTCATACCGACCAATGGATCTTGAGTATCTTGTGTAGATAATTGTCAGTGCATACTTTTACTATTTCCATGATGGATGTAGTAGTTGTCGAAGTTTCAACTCCATACAACAGAACTGTCTTGACGTTTGTGTTGAAGATGCTCACTTTGATATTGGTTGACACTTGTTTTGAGTTCCATATGTTCTTCAACTGTAGGAATGTTACCCTTGCTTGCCAATCCTCGCATTTACTCCTGCATCAGATCCTTCACGTTCATTGATGATTCAGACTCAGATTTGTGTAGTAAGGACAGAATTGATGACTCTGTGTAAAAAGCTGTATGCTACCCAGATACTTAGAACGTCCCATCTCTTCCAGAGTTTCTCAATCAAGCGTGATCGGGTTAGTGTTCTCCGTGGTGTATTTGAAGATCTTGCTTTTTCCCATGTGAATGCCAAGGTCTACCGCTGCAGAGGCTCTTGATACACTGGCTTTCTTGACCTGCATTTGTTGGTACGTATGGGATAGAACGGCTAGGTCATATGCGAAGTCCAAATCTTCTAGTTGCATCCAACCTGTTCATTGTATTCCGTGCTTTCCCTCAGATGTCGAGGTCTTCATAATCCAGTCAACTATCAGAAGAAAGAGAAATGGAGAGAGTAACAAACTTGTCTGACTCCGGATTTCTGTTGGAATACACTTGTCAATTGTCCTCTATGCACCACTTTGCAGTGTAGTCCGTCGTATGAATTCCGGACGATATTGACGATTTTCTCGGGCACATCACACTGTCAAAGAATCTATAGGATTCTCCTTTCAACGCTTTCAAGCGCCTTCTCATAGTCAAGGAAACTGATGCATAGATTCACTCAACTGATTGTTCAACAATGATCCGTAGTGTCGCTTCTATGATCCCTTTCTAGTTGTCTTTTATAGTAATTTCCCTTTTGAATAAATGCTGTTGGGTTTGGAACCTGATGTTAACAGTTATCTTGAACTCGTTGAGTTTATTAGTATCTCGATGGAAGGCTGTATTGAACCCCTATAACATTGTTTCTCAAGTTATCCAGTGCTTCTTTAACTTTGGTTTCATCCTGGAAACTACTAGGTGGTGATCTGAAGCTATGTCAGCTCCTCTCCTGGTTCGCACATCTTCCATCGACCTTCTGAATTTCTTGCTAATGCAAATATAATTATTCTGATTCTCTGTAGCGTGATTCGGTTAGACCCATGTAGCGTCTATAACCATTTTGTTGAATGCACATAAATTTACAAATCTCTCACCATTCTCGTTCCTTTTCCCAATCAGTCCATGTCCTCCCACGATATCTTCATACCCGATGTTGTCCATTCCGACTTTGGCGTTTAGGTCTCTCATCAGGGTGATCAGGTATTTTACTGGGCACTTCGTTATGATTGATTGTAGCCTCTCATAGAACTGTTCTTTACTATCGTCGTCGCTATCATTGTTGGGTGCATAACATTGGATAACATTCATTGTGATCCCTTCCTTCTTTGTTTTGAAGGATGATTTGATGATTATGGATCCATGGGTTTCTCATTCCATAAGTACATTTCTTTCTTCTTTGGACGGCATCAGAGCAACTCCCTAAGTGTGTGTTATTGTCTTGAAACAAAGCAACTGAGCTTTTTCAGCACATGAATTGCAGTTATCTGTTTTTATTCATGGTATAGTGTACGCGAATTCAGGTGAGGATAATCTAATTCATTGTTAAGTGTAAAATGACATAGTACCTGCGTAAAATATGAAGATCATACATTAAACGTATTTGATTTGCACATATTCCATCATTTGTCCCTTATATATTTCTGTTGTTATTCCAATTGCTCACATTTTCCCTTCCTATTCTCTTGAATTCAATCTTCTGTTGACAGGTATTCAACTTTATACTACTTATATCTGTCAACGTAAATAGCTTACATCGCAATAGTATCAATTCCAAAACTACGGATTTTTTCCACTAATTTTATTTTTGGGCTTAGATTGATATTCTGGATGGATCAATGTCAGACCACCATTAGAAACCTGGAAGCACTGAACGGTCATTTCGTCCTAGTATGGGACTCCCTAGAAGTTTGCATCCACCATCCCGCATGTGCGATTGATTGAAGTTAGACATAAACACCATTAGATGCCACCTCAATGGTCCAGAGATTGAGGATCCACGCGCGAGACCCATGGTCCTATGTTCGAATCCCGTGTGCAAGATACTAGGATGAAACCATCAATCCAGTACTTTCAAGCTTTCAATAGTGATCTATCATTAATCCATTCATAATATCAATCTAACGTCAACAATCTTTACAATTCTTTACTAATAATTATTTTATTTTTATACATATAGGATCCAACATACAATCGTCAACTATCTAAAAACACTTTAACAAATTCTATTAATTCATCAACATTTACTAATCATAATGAAATACAACAACCAATTCAAAATCAAATCCCTTCATCAATGATGATGAATTCATTACAATTCCCTAATCAATTGAAAGTATATCTTATTTTTAAAATAATACTCTATAGTTTAATTTGTATAAATATATTCCTGAGTATAGTATGTTTCTATGCAATGGATAGTAGTTTTATACATTTTCAACCTAAATTCATAGATAATACAACAAATCCAACTGTAAAAACATTCAGAAATTTATTAATGAATGAAATTGTATATAAATTACCTGATTATTTACAAGAAATTATCACTCAAGGTCAAATGTATACAAATCAAACATTTAGAATCATTGAAAAAGAACTTGATGTAAGTTTGATCAGAAAAGGGGTTTTGTGGAGAATGTAGTAATTTCAATAGTTGAAATCATGATTGAGATCAAGTGTTCTATGGTGATCTAGCTTCAAATCACTCATGATGTAAACTATTGAAAATGAGAATTGTTTTGTATTTATTAAGTGTATGTTCTATTATAGGAATACTACCTCTAACTCAGGGTCTGAAAAGTTGGAAAAATGAAAAGTTCGCAAGTGCGATAAAAATGATCTTGGTGGTCTAATTATAGTATTCAGACATCAGACAGTGGGTTTTAAGCGTTATTTAAGCCCTAACGCTTTAGGCTGGGCTATTTCGCTTACTACCCTATACATGTGTTGTATGCAGTATAAGCTATATGGCTGTATAGAGCTGAAGGTCTCATATGAGACTGGAGGTTCGCCATTGTTATTGTGGACGGTTCGGTATTCCTTTGGCAAGTTTTGCTGACTGTTCATGCAAAAATTGGTTTGCTGGTTAACCGATTTCATTCACACTGGTGGTTGCTTTTCAGTGTTCCCGAGGGCCATTGTCATTGTGACATTGTAAGGCATGCCTCCATTGCTAACATTAACGAGTTTGACTGTCGTGTAAGCGGAATAGGTCAACTTTGGCCTGTTCGTGCTGTGCATAATTGATTCACGCGATCATTGATCGGAATAAATATACACATGGTGTGTGCATATGAATGGTGCGAATGGTCCACCAGGGTGCTCGGTACCTGTGTGGTTGCGCCACAGGATTGAGCTGTACTATTCAGATTGTAGCATTAAAGCCTGTACAGTGTCTGGTCCCCCTGCTAGGCGGGGTTGAGCTGTACTGTTTGGGTTTTTACGTGAAAGTCCGGATGGTGTCTGATTCTCCTGAAAACCAATGTAAAATTACCCTGGCCCACAAGGGTATATTATATAACTATAAGTAAACTAATATAATGTTCTATTGTAATTTGTCTCTTATATAAATTTGTGAAGAGTATGGAAAAAAGGCGAAAATAAAAATGGTATAGCAACAAACAAAGGTAAATGTAACCTCAATTCATTTGGTGCTGTTTTACCTGTATCTTCTCATTGTTATTTAGGACTGCAATTGATCAGTCTCATGTTGGAATATGTGCATCCTGTGCGGATCGCATCGATATGGCCTTGAGTCATGAGCTTTTTAAACAAAGATCGATAGTGACTCGCAGTGGTATCCAGTATGAGCGTTCATACTGAGACTCGAACCAGAACATCAACTCTGAGATGCAGGTACATCCAGCTGACGAGTCCCAAATAGGATGAAACGCATTTCCTTGATTCCACTGATAGCCACTATCCATTTTTGCTTTAAAATATAACATCAGTTGCAAAATAAATTGCATCAACTGAAAAAAAATATTACAATGGAAAAAGTGAGCGCTCTTTACGCTTGTACAAAAATCAACATAGATTAAGAGTGAGGCAAAACGATAAATGCCAACATGAATTTGTTTGGTAAAACGTCGTAATTTGGGACTGACAAAACTCAAAGAATGCTAGGGGATTCTTAAAAGCATGGAATTCAGATCAAATAATAATCAACAGACAAATAGACATTGATCCAATCTATGAACCCATACCGAAAAGGTCAACTAGTCATAAGGTTTGAAGTCAACCAACAATGATTGTTAACGTGAATCCAAAAACATATGATGATGATTAAAATCCACGAAAATAGTCAATCACCAACATGGCTTGCTGTCAAGTAAAGAACTCAATGAATAATTCTTAACAAAAAATGCCGAGAAATCTATTATATATATGACAAAACAGAATTTGCAAGATTTTAAAGTATTTTCAAGACTACATACAAACTTTCTAGCTAAAAGGTCTGTTATGACATGAGGAGTATATATATCATCCATCGATCATGTAAATTCTAACTGAACAATATACATGATGGGACCAGGAGGTAGATGCTATTAGCGTTAGATTTAGGGTATTAACGAGATATAGTACATGTGATTGATAAACATTTATTGTATCAGGTAACTAGGTCAATCACTGGACATAAATGGTCGTTACTTCGATGTAAAACGCATGTCAGGATAGAAGTAGGTTAGCATAGAAAAAGCTAGATTCAACTCAATCACAGTGTGATATTTGAAACTTAAGTCATTAGGTGCAAAGCACCATGTTGGAATTCAAGTATATTTGCTATCAATGGTTGGAAACATTGGACAAAATATGACAGAAAACCAACCGTAATGATATGGCTGAAATTATTGATTATCGTCATTTAAACAATGAATTTGATATCATTCCACAATTATCAGTATTTAACCTCTATTCTCAGATTTGAATAATACTCCATGTATACAGCTTCTACGTTAACAAACATTATTATTATGTACCTTTTTATTATTCTTGTTATGGTTTGTGGCCTGTTAATTTATCACGAGATAGTATCATCGAGACACCGAACTATACAATCAGAACGGAGACACATAAACCAGCACGAGCAGCCTAGAGTTCTTATTGGTCCCTTGGGATAGTAGCTTCTCGCCTAACCCAGCCGGTTCAGTTCAGAACGCAAACATCAACCTTCGTTATATGAATCATATATTTCAGATATACTGGGTTTACATACAAACAAACCAAACAGCATTAAAAATAATAATTACACAAACTCAGGCCAAAATGTGACTATGGCTATGAGAGACTGTAATTAATAAACCGCGCATAAATTAAGTATATTAAATCGTATAATGGTAGTCAATAGGTCAAATAAGAGCTTATAATAAAGGGGAAATGGATATACATATAATATAGTTATTTAGTGGTTATACAATAAGAATATAAATAATAACAGTCCATACATAGATCATAACAAATATAACTTATAATTCTTCGTCCGGATGTAGCAGTTTTGAAGCGGAATTTTCATTACTGTCGTGGTGATAAGAATGATGGCAACTTAGATTGATACTCATTCATCTCGAGCCTAATTCCCTTTATAGTTAACTGATTGACACGTTAAATTAGATAATCAATTTCACGACGCAGTAGAAATTGTCTAAATGAAAGCATAAACGACAATTATATTATTTCACAATTAGAATGAAGATTCGAAAAAATTGTAGTGATTTTTAATAGCTGAATTCATAATTCGATTTAAGCTAGACCATCCTGCATGAGGGATCGTGGATCTGCACTGCTGAGGAGTCCCGTGCTAAGACGAAACGACCGTTCACTGATTCCAACTTTTCAGTGATGGTCTAGCTTAAATCGACTCATGAATTCAATTATTAAATATTTCATAATTATTATTAATGTAATTTTATAACTAAGTACCTTTCTTCTCTTTCATTTAGAATCAGTTATTGATAACTACTGAAAAGATAATCCAATCATTGCTTGAAACATATCAACTATCACCTGTAATTGAATCAGCTGAATCAATTTCTTATAGTATCAATGAAACAGTAACAGCTAGTCAAATTATTAATGTACAACAGAAAACACTTCAACAAGATATGAACAGTTATATTGGTGAATTACGTGGTTATGCTAATATATTGAATAAAACATTAGATTCAATATGTGGAAAGTTGAATGAAAATACCTTAGAAAAAGTGACATGTAAACAGTTACAAGTAAGTTCATTTCATTAGATTAATATTGTCATCAAATAAGTGGTTTTTATATAGAAATTGAAGTGAAAATGTTTTCAAGTTTTAATTAGATGGTTTATGGAAGATGGCAAACTGTATTCGTCACGAACCTTAAAAGTACTGAAAGTTAAGGAGCATCGGAAAGATGTTTTGTTATGCTATAGGATACGTTATTAGTACTAATTCACAACTTAATACAAATTTTAACGCAAAACACTGACTATAGCAAAGCGATTTATTCTTGAAAATAACGATCTCGAGAGCTGATAGAGGTGTGTAGAGAGTTGACACTTCCCTGTTGTTTATATTATGCATGGGTATCTCATGATGAAGTATCTGGAAAGGAAACTAGATCGACATTGATCTTCGAAACCTGAGAATGTGATATGAAAACTTAAACTATAACTGATCGAGACCGATTGCACACGGCCATTATGTGAGTAGTTATTAATGTATAATACCTGTGCTTTAAAGACTTTATCACAGGGGACGAAGACATTGGGACAGGATTGACTGATCTATTTTTAGGATGACCCATTTTAAACCGTTTCTTCCGTTCAGCGAAGGTAGCATCTCTGTAAATACTAGTTATCCGAGGGAAACACATAACAGCCATCAAAACTTAGTACATTTAAATGTACAACATCTCCTTCGGACAATATGTAGACACTTATTGTTTTATCGCTTCTCGACCGATCAATCTAGCATGATAGTATATAAAGGATTATGTGTTACAGTCAAAGCAAATGACATGCTAATTTACAAATCAACTACCTACTACGTTACTTTACAGTTGAGCCACCTTATGTCAATGAATTCAAGATATTTTGAATCAAACACGATTGACGTTCACTGATTTTATTTCATCTTCATTCATTAAGTACTGGAATGCTGCGCCTACACTTCAATATTTAGTGAATACTTTCCAGAAATTTCACATAATTCTTCTCATTCACAGATTTGAATTCTTTAAGCAATAAATTGATATTAGCTAAATCGTTATCGAAATCTGGGAGTAATGAACGATCGTTTAATCCTAATATGAGACACCTCAACCATGAGTATCACAATCACCGAACTGGGACTTATTAGGTTGTCTAGCTAAGATTAGGTCATGATTGAAACTATGAAAATCCACTAATCTCTACAATCATCTCCCCTATACTAATGAATTTAAATATGGTTTCTCATTAAATGATTATAACCTAAACATGATAGAATTAATAGGTAAAAACTTTCTCCCGGAACTCTCACTTTATTTAACATTGAAATATTCAACCATTTACACATCTTTTATAATTCTTCCATACTTCCGCTCTCTCTTTTTCTCTACATTAATCTTGATTGAGGAGAACATTCCCAATAGTATGGTGTAAAGTAGACATACTAATTTTTACTGAATAATTCTATCATGTTTAGGTTGTAATCATTTGATGAGAAACCATGTTTAAATTCATTAGTATAGGAGAGATGATTGTAGAGATTAGTGGATTTTCATGTCTTGATTCAAACTAGATCGTTGATCTTGGATATACACTTCTGAATTATTTCCTACTAAGACGAGATTGTCATCTAGTGCTTTCAGATTTTCAAAGAATGATCAAGCATAAATCAATTCATAAATTTAATAATATTATTTCAATATTTGAGATCATGAGCTCATTGAAGCTAGACCACCACAGAAAACCTAACAGCACTGGATGGCTGTTTCCTTCTATCATGAGACTCCTCAGTAGTGCACAACCACGATCTTACCTCGCGAGATTCCAATCTACGACCTATCACTCTCGCGTGAGAGAGCTTAATCACTAGACCACTAAGCCAACCGGTATCCAATCGTGCTAATGTCTAACTTTAACTAATCCACGAAATTGAGCGACATATCCACTACTGTCATCATTGAGGTACTATCTCAAGACAGCCCCCGTTGAACTCCACTGGTCACTGCTTCCAGTTTTTTTGCATGGTAGTCTAGCTTCAATTGACTCATAATCTCAACTATTGAAATGACTACAATCTCCACAAAATCCCTTCTGATTATTATTATTATCAATTTTACAATATAGATTAATCAATAATTATTGATTGGTTTATTGATTTTTTTTTGTTTCAGTTCAATAATTCAATTTTATTAATCAATGTTGATACAAAATTATTTGAATTTGAATCCAGTTCAATTTTAGTATTTTTAATGAATGATTTAAATATTAGTTTAAATTCAATAACCGATCAATTAATCGAATTAAAAATTTATTAAATCTAAAAAAAGATGAAGTGATTCAAAGTGTAAGTGATTTTTGTTTTGTATATAATTCAATGATCAATAGTTTTTTTTCATTATTTTGAATAAAGAAGAATCATGAAAGTAATTCATCTGTCGAATTAACATCACAGGTTGAAATCATGAGTCAGTTGAAGCTGTTGTGAGATAACAACTCACTGAAGACAATGGTGTACGGTGGCGCAACTTCGTGGATCGCTTGAAGTTAGACATTAACACCGTTGGATGCCGGCTCAGTGGTCTAGTGGTTAAGTGCTCGCGCGCGAAGCCAGTAGGTCCTGGGTTCGAGCCCCGCGTGGTGCGGGATCGTGGATGCGCACTGCTGAGGAGTCCCATACCAGGACGAAACGGCCGTCCAGTGCTTCCAGGTTTTCAATGGTGGTCTAGCTTCAACTGACTCATGATTTCAACCTGTGAAATTTCTAAAAAAATTCTCCACAAAACCCATTCTAATAAGAATTAACATCAGTTGAATATCGGTCAGTTTAATGGTCTCACATATGAGATTGATAGGTTCTGGGTTGGAACTACTTATAGCAGGATCATGGATACGTACTACTAAGAAGTTATACAATAGGATGAAATGACTATGTAGTGCTTTCAGGTTTTTCATGATAGTCTAGCTTCAATTAATTCATGATCACAATTATTAAAATTACTATAATATTCACAAAAACTCCTTCTAACATGCATAAATAAATCACTTTTGGCGATCTATATTCGATATCATTCTCTATAAACTTTGTATAATATTCATCTTGATAATCGGTACTAGATAATGCCTTCCCTCCCTCCCCCACACACAAGGGTGTATAAATCAGAAGATGAATAACGAAGTGTTGATTACATTTATTATTGCATCACATACATAGATCACCAAAACCACAAGTACATGAAGTAAGAATGATATGTGAGTGCCAAACAATAAGCGATCAAATCAATGAACAAGATTAAAATGTACATATATATACAACAATAATAACAAAAGTACAATCTTATAAATAAGTTGTTGTTGTTGTACGAATGACTCTATCTGTTAAATAAGTCAATAAATGGGCTTAACCAAATTAAATATGAACAAACTCAAATGTATGTGAGTTACTATACATTATTTTAGTTGAAGAGATTTTATAGAGATTAGTTTAACTTGTCACTTGTATTTATCACTCATTTGATTTCATTTAAAGTAGTATTAATAATTACAGAATACTAGATAACTGTTTCTCTCTAGTATGCCATCAATCTTTCTAATGATCGAATTCAGGATATTTAGGTCATGTCAATTCAATAATTTTAATTGTTAATCATTTACTATGAAACTTGAAAACCTTACCTTAGACTATTATTCATGAGATCATAATTTCTTATTTTTGAAGGATCTGATACCAGAATACAGCAATTATTCATTATTTACTGGTTGTCATTAGCATCTTAAGGGAGATCAATATATGACAAGCATTTACAGGTCTCATTATTTACAAAATATATTCTCTTCACTATAACACATATTTTGTAATTGTTTGATTGGTTAATTAAACAATTGTTATTTAATAATTTAATAATTGAGTTCATGAGTTAGTCAAAGCTAGACCACCATGAAAAACCTAATAGCACTGGACGGCTGTTTCGTCCTATTGTGGGACTCCTCAGCAGTGCCTATCCACGACCCCGCCCAGCAAGATTCCAATCTAGGACCTATCGGTCTCGCGAGCGAACGCTTAACCCCTAGATCATTGAGCTGGCAAGAATCCAACAGTGTTAATGTCTAACTTCAACCAATTTAGTAGTTGGACATTAATAACATATCTATCATAATCATCATAAGATATTTGATATCATACATGTTAACATTAAATTTGATTTAATCTCAGTAACTGAAACCCAACTAATTCCAACAATGCTGTATCAACAAGGTTGTCTAGTTAAAAGTCAAGATAAAAAAAATCCTCAATGAATATATCATGTTTACAAACTAAATCTACACTAAAACCCTTATCCAATCAATCGGAGATACTGATTTTGATAAAAAAAGTGTAATTTCAATGTAATTTTAAGAGTTCACAAAAGTTTCAGAAATTTATTGTGTGAAAATTTACTGAGTTAAAAAGTATGTTGAGTTAAGGGAACGGAGGTATAATGACAGCCTCAAATGGGTCTAAATGATCAATCAATCAGACATAAAATTTCGTAACTCAAATGGATAAAAGCATGAAGTTGTGAAGATAGTTGAGTTTTTATAGAGATCATGGAGTAGTCAATGCTAGACCATCATTAAAAAAGTGGAAGCACTGGACGGTTGTTTTGTTTTATTAGGAGCATCATCAGCAGTCCACATCTATGATCTTGCACGTGCAACTCGAACTTAGGGTCATCGAAACGCATCGTTGTGGAGTCCCTCCCTAGAATAAAACGTCCATCCTGTGTTTCTAAGTTTTCAACGGTGATCTAGCTTAGATCGACTGTTGTACTCAATGCAATCAATATCACGGAATAAATGTAAAAAGAATATAGAGTTTTTAAAAGCTAATATCGTAAATGTTTTAGCCTAACTCTAACACTTCTAAAACATCCTCATCTATGAACATCGTGACTTCTCTTCACATCATTTCTTGACAACAGCTAAATACGTTAGGTATTTTTTCTCAATAGTCCAACAATATGAAGATGATCATTGATCATATCATTATACAGATTACTCAAAATGCAAAATCTCATCAAAAAATTCATATCCAGTTGCAAGATATTCGTAATTCAGTCAATAATCGTTATCTGTATTTTGATTGGTTAAATTCATTTGTTTCAAGGTCATCAGTTTGGTATTTAATATAAAAGTATGATCAATTAACAAAAGAAGATTCCAATAATGTAATATTTATAATAATTGGGGGGGGGAAAGAGAAACTGTAAATATTAGTTATTCAAGTCAGTAATAAATGGGAAACTATTTCTTCTAGAATGAATACTTTTAACCTGAGTATTTTTTTTAATGATTTCTGTTTCGAGGAAAAGTAATAAACTTGTATTGTTTTTCATCAGTATAGGGGTTGTGGAGATTGTTAAGTTTTTTGATTGAGATCATGAATCAATTGATGTTAGACCACTGTTGGGAACCTGGAAGCACTGGACGGCTGTTTCGTCCCAGTATGGGACTCCTCAGCCGTGCACATCCATGATCCCACTCCCCGCGAGATTCGAACCCATGCGCTTAACCAATTAGACCACTGAGCTGGCCGGTATCCAATGGTGTTAGTGTCTAACATCAACCATTCCACGTGGATCGTGGATGCGCGTTGTATTGCCTTGTTGATGAATTGTTTTGAAAGCATTAATAATAATGTTATCTATTGTTTAGAGCTGTAACAACGTTAAGTCTCAAGTTCTATCAGACCATAGCTATGAAATGTAAACGTGTACTCATTTCTCTACTCTCTTAAAAAATATGTGGTTTGTGTTATAACTTGTGACCGCCGATTAGAGGGCAGTGACTTATCAATCGGACCAAGGATGCGTAAACCCGTACGAGCAGTCTAGAGTCCTGATTGGTCCTGCCTTCCGCCTAGTCCAGCCACTCAAGTCCACAACACCAATCTCAGCCTCTGCAATATAAATCCTTATATTTCAAACATACTGGATTTATATACCAATCAAACAGACCACAACGTACCATAAAATAGAAAATAACATTTGTACAAAATTTGGCCAAATGTGGCTGTAAATGTGGGAGGCAGTGACTAATAGACAGAGCATAATTCAAGAATGGTAAAACGTATAATAATGGTTTATAGGTTAAAATAAAGCTTATAATAAGAGGAATATGAATATGAATAGTTTAGTTATTTAACAATTATACGATAAAAATATACGTATAGTATTGGTTCATAAATGAATCCCAAAGTTACCATTCATTATGTTTAACAATTTGAGACATAAATCCAAATTGATATTTAAAATTGAAGACAATAGGAAAGAGGAAATTCGTCAGATTTTATTTATCTTAAGAAACAGGTTATTTTATGTCATATGAATAACCTTACCGATACAGTGGTAACCTTCAATGGTGTATTAATTATGTAATGGACTAAGCTAATAACTTCAATATTATTGAAAACAATCTGTAAAAATTAGTCTTCTTTTCAATTATATTATATTCTGTAAACAATGATGGACAGTGGCTAGCAGTGGAATCCGGTTTGACGCGCGTTTCATCCTATTTGGGACTCGTCATCTGGATGTATCTGCATCTGAGTTGATGTTCACTCGGGGGCTCGAACCCAGTACCATTCACCTCAAACGCCATCGCGTTATCCACTTTTAGCTAGTGAGTCCTGATAACCACCTGCTTGTGCAATGAGGTGAATTTAAATTCACTTGGTATTGTTTGGCTTGCATTTTCACATTGAGGTTTTACGACTGCAATTGATCAGTCTGTTATTGGCATATGTGCATACTGTGCGTATGCCTCGATATTGCCTTAATTCACAAGCTTTTTGTAAGCAATTATATTATATTCCTAATATATTTGGATATATCTCAATTATTTCAATTACTTCCTTTAGCTTCTCATTAACAATTTTAAGTGGAAGGGATTAACTAAATTCCTCATACCACTTAAATATTGCTTGATACTTTTTGTAAAAGTACATTAGGAAAGTTAATCGTCATTATGTAATCAATCCTACTTGACTGAAGATAGATTATATCGATTAATGTATCAAAAGACTTATTCAGTATTACCCCCCCCCCCCTCAAAATGATTATCCCTTCCGATCAGTTATAAACGGCATAAGATTCAGCATTAATGTAGAAAGTAAAAAAAATCAATAAAATTGTAGCGAACACAGAAATCATATTTAAAAATGGAACAATTTAAAAATTCATAAGAAAACAATAAGTGAATCCATTTCGGTCGTTGACATTGATTCAAAGTTATGTAAATTAACAATAATGTGCCAAACATCAAACTGCTAACTTGGACTCTTGAGGATGGAACGAAAAAGAGGAAAGTTAAAAAACACACTTCATCGAGGATTGGTAGCAGAAATGAAAAGGATGAATAGCAACTGGAAAAGATTGTCCAAGACATAGTTGGATGAAGAATACTAGTGGGTTGTCTATCCTCTACCTTGAAGAGTAACAGGCGTATGGAAGTAAGTAAGTGTCAACTAAGAGCTTGTCACCTTCCAATAGAACTTAAATCATTAGTCAATGACTTGATCAATTCATATCATATAGTCTAATTATGCTTTGTAACAAGACGAATTATTCCGTTTTCATTACTAACTATTTATCTGGATAATTCATATTTATCTCCTTATAATCATGTTCAATATGAGTACAGACATGTTCCAATCTTAATTTTTTATAGTTTTCTAGATAAGCCTCTTCAGCTGCACAATTTTATATAAGATATACACTGTTATTGTATTGTTCATTTGAATAACAAATACACAAGCTGACATTAAATTTACTTAGTATTGATTACTTGAATCTACCAATTGTTGTTTAACAGTTCAATCGTTTGATTGTTGATCGAAGCAAGACAAGTATTTTCTATAAATATCGACATTTCACCATCACCTCAATGGTCAGTGTATGACAATGGTGTCGTGATATGAAAGAAAGCTGTATAGGGCTGGTTTGTGTTGGTCCTTCACGACTCCCTGGTTGGGGTCCGAGAGATGGTGCAACACTGGCTAGAAACGTTATCAGATATGGCCCAGAATAGAAGCCAGTGACGATCCTGCTGTAACCTTCTTTTACTTTCTTCATAAAAAATGTTTGTTTCTTCCTTAACTGAAAGATTTCTTCTGATTGTACCTTTTCGTTCCCCCCATTATTACTATTATTATTATCATTACACTACCTTACACTAATCTGTTCGTTATTGTTCTTTTTTTCTCTTCGAATTCTCATTTTTTTGTGTGGCGCATATATACTTGGTGCCCTCTTGTACCAATATTTATGTGTTTAGATAAATAATAATAATAATTAACACTTCAATTGATCAGTCACTTATTGGCATATGTGCATACTGTGCGTATTACCTTGATATTACCTTAATTCATAAGCTTTATAAGCAAAAGTGAATAGTGGTTAACAGTGGAATCCAAGACGCGCGTTTCGTCCTATTTGGTACTCGTCAGCCGAATATATCTGCGTCAGAGAGTTGATGTTTACTCTAGGACATGATCCCAGTACCGTTCGCTTTAAACACCTTCACGTTATCCACTTACCTACTGAGTCCTAATAGTCACTTGCATATGCAATAAGATGAAGTTTATATTCACTTAATCCCAAAGTGAATATCAAATCTGAGATGCAGGTCCATCCAGCTGACCAGTCCCATACAGGACAAAATGCTCATCTTGGATTCCAAAACTATCCATAATCAATCTTTGCTTTTGAACCTCACATTAATTTTACTGATCTCATATTTTCTCTTTTCTTCTTCTTTTTGTTTTTCTTGTTTCAGATGAAATCAACATTCAATTTGAATGATTACTTCAATCTATTTACATCTATATGGATATTATTACAACAAAATATTGTGGATAAATTAAATTCATATTTAACTATCAATAAACAACAAGAAATTGATAATTACTTAAAATTAATTAGTTATGTAATATCTATCATTGGTTATGTAATCATTACATTGACATTAATGTTAATTACATTCTTCTTAATTTATTGTATACTTTATATAGTTGATATTTATAATAGGAATTTATTTACTAAACAAAATGGTATAAAATGTAAGTTTCTTTTTTTCTTCAATATTTGGATATATGTTTTGATAAGAAAAGGGATTTTTGTTAAGAGATTGTTGTCATTTTAATAGTTGAATTAGATGGTGGTTGGAGGTAGTCGACAGGAAACCTTGGACTCGGGTTTCATGCTACTTGGCACTCGTCAGCAGGGTTTATCTGTAATCTTGAAGGAACTGGTGCCTCCCGGCGGATTTGACCCTGTGTCACCCAGCTTCATAGTCCGAGATGTTACCACTGAGCTGTCCGGGTCGCGACTGACCTCCTGTAGGACTGAGACGTAATCACGCCAGGAAGCACCAGTTCCCTCAAGATTACAGGTACACCTTGCTGACGAGTGCCAAGTAGCATGAAACCCAGGTCCAGGGTATCCTGTCGACTACCTCCAACCACCATCTCATCTCAATATATAGTGCCCGCAGTGTCGAGTCACCTAGACTGGTGGCCACATTGCAATATGGTCGATAGCATTCGATCTGCACTAAATAAGAACTTGACACAGATGACATTGATCACCACCCAGTGATCAACCAATCGTAATAGTTGAATACATGGATCAATTAAAGCTAGATGATTACGAAAAATCTGGAAGTAATAGATGGCCATTTTATTCTAGTATGGGACTCTTAAGCAATGTATATTTGGTGGATTGGTTGAAGATAGATACTAACACTGTTAGATGTCGACTTAGTGGTTTAGAGGTTAAGCGGTCGCGCGCGAGTCTGACAGGTCCTGGGTTTTAATTACGTGATGGAAATCGTGAATATGCACGGCTGAGGTGTTCCATACTAGGACAAAACGGTCGTTCAGTGCTTCTAGGTTTTTCATGACGGTCTAAATTTAAATGACTAGTGAATTCAACTAATAAATTATTTGATCAGAAGGGGTTTCGTGGAGATTTTAGAAATTTTACTGATTAAAATCATGAGTCAGTTGAAGCTAAATCACCATAGGTTCGAATCTCGCGGGGTGCGGGATCGTGGATGCGCACTGCTTAGGAGTCCCAAACTAGGACGAAATGGCCGTCCAGTGCTTCCAGGTTTTCCATGGTGGTCTAGCTTCAATTGAATCATGTTTTCTATCAGTGATATTAAATCATTTGTTTTGTTAATAAGTTTTTGTATAAATGATTTTCAAAAATATTTTAAATGAATAACACGTTAAAGACTTATATTAATATTTCCAGAGATCATAGTAACTTACACATCTAATAGGGTATCTTGTTAATATAGGATTTCTCACACTGATTGATTAACGAAATTGGAATGATCAAGTAGTGAAAGAGAACACATTTGGGGACAACCAAATATTATTTGAATAAAAATTCACAGGACATCTTAGTAAAACCATATAGTAAATACCTCAATCGTCTCAGACTTTATTGTTCTTTCGTTTCTGCACTATCCATTCTTTGTTCTCATTCTCTTTTTTTTTGATCTTCTTAAACTTCTGCCTTCAGGCATTTCACTTTCATTTGATGATACATATTACTTATATTTATCGACAACAGTAGCATACACCATAATAGTACACTATTTAATAATTTGGTTCTAATATAAACTATGAACTGAAAATTGATTTTAACTGTCAACCTATTAGTTGATTTGTTAAAAGTAACTTTTTGATAGAATCATATATTACATTGAAGAATCATCTCTATGATTACTTCCTTTTTTTGTGGATATTATAATAATTTTAATAGTTGAGATCATCAGTCAATTGAAGGTTGTCTATAGTGATCTAGCTTCAATTGACTCATGATCTCAACTATCAAAATTACTGCAATATTCAGAAAAGCATTTCTGATATTAATTAGATATATTGAGCTAATCCGTGTCGGGTAGAGACAGGTATCTATCTTAGTACAATGTTAGATGTTTGCGCAATTTCTTGGATTGGTTGAGGTTAAACATTTACACCGTTGGATGCCAGCCAGCTCAGTAGTCTAGAAGTTGAACATTTGCACGTGAGACTGAAAATCCTGGGTTAGAATCCTGCGAGATGGGATCGTAGATGCACAATGCTATGGAGTCTAACAATAGGACTAAACAGTCGTCCAGTGCTTTCAGATTTTCAATGGCGGTCTGACATCAATCGACTCAAGATCTCAATCCATAAATTAATGAATTATAGTGAATTACATGACAAAAAACAACAACAACAAAGAAATGACCATAATAATCATGAACTACTTTATTTATATTTCTCTCTTCAATGTTTTTCTTTTTTGTTTACAATTCTATATTTCAGATGATCCATCTCAATTATTTACTCTTCAAATTCAAGGAGAATTTCATAAGAAATTATTTCTTCTTCAATTAAATCGTTCTATCTATTTACCTCATATTATCAATTATAAACATATTCAATATTTAACTATAACTGCTTTAATCATAAGTCTCTTATTTAGTCTCATTCTATTTCTTCTTTATATGATTTTACCATTGTTAATCTTATTCGATACAGAATTATGTCGTTATCTGAATACAGATTCTGGTATATTAATTACGGATTTCATTCTTGATTTATATCTACAATATCAATGGTCAAATTTTACATTATTATCAAATAATGATTTATTAAATTATATTAATTTATTTCCACCAAAACATGTTTATTCAACAATTCGTAATAAATGTCAACCTATTATGTATAATAATCATGATCTAAATACTACTACTACTACTAATACTACTGATAATACTACTAACAATACTACTAATACTACTACTACTACTAATAGTAGTAATAATAATAATAACCATACATATCGTAATTATAATTTATTAAAATTACTTAATTATAGTCAAATTATTAATTTTGATAAACTTTTATATTCATCCATAATTCAAGAGAAAATTAAAGATGCTGAAATGTATGTGATAAATTTTCATTAAATTCAATTATTTATTGATTTAAATGTGATTGATTATTGAATAATGATTTATATTGTTGTTTTAATGGATTGATCATTGAAAATATTGATTATTATGAGTATGGACTTTATGAAGATTATTAAGTTATCTGATTTAGATCATGCATTAATTGATATAAATGTGTACTGATGAAGAGTTTCACAATAAGGCCGAAACGGTCATCCGGTATTTTAAAGATTTTAATGGTGGTTTAACATCAATCGGTTCATGATGACAATCAAAAACGTAATAATCTGAAGTTTAGATGTTGTGGAAATCGTTAAGTTTTTTTTATCGAGATCATGAACCGATTGATGTTAAACTACAATTAAAAAATAAAAAAACTGGATGAATGTTTCGTTCTATTGTGAAACTCTTCATCAGTACACATTTGCATCAAACAATTCATGATCTAAATCAAAAACTTAATAATCTTCATAAACCCGTGACCAGTGGAGCTAATCCATGTCGGGTAGAAACAGGTGTCTACCTCACTACAATGGTAGATGGTCACGCAATTTCGTGGATTGGCTGAGATTAAACATTAACACCACTGGATGACGGCCAGCTCAGTGGTTCAGTAGGTTAAGCGTTCACGCGCTAGACTGAAGACCCTGAGATCGAACCTTGTGAGACCGGATCGTGGTTACGCACTGCTGAGGCGTCCCACAATAGGACGAAATGGATGTTCAATGCTTCTAGGTTTTCAATGTTGATCTAACATCAATCGGTTCATCATGTAAATAAAAAATCTTAATAATCTTCATAACCTCATAATAATAATAATAATCATGTGCTCACTGGTGATTATCTTCGTGAGGGACTTCTTAGAGTTCTAGTGAGAAGCTGTGATCAGTGGATTTAATCCGTGTCGGGTTGAGAAAGGTGTATACCTCAATAAAATGGAGGATGGTCGCGAAATTTCATGGATTGGTTGAGGTTAAACATTAACACCATTGGATATCGGTATAGAAGGATATCTGGTATAGAAGTTAAACGTTCTCCCGTGTGATCGAAGGCCTTGGGTTGGAATCTCACGGGGCGAGATCGCGGATGTACACAGTTAAGGAGTCCCACAATAGGATAAAACGACCGTTCGGTGCTTTCAGGTTCTAACATCAGTCAATTCATGATCTCAATCAAAAACATTTGTCACTATTAATTAACTAATCCATGGAAGATATTACAGTCCAGCTCAGTAGTAAAATTTAAAACAATGAGGCTGATCAACACCAGAGCGCATCGGCTGGAGAGCATTAAGTCCTTCAAGATTACAGATGCACCTTGTTGACAGATACCAAACAACATGAAACTTGAGTCCAGTGTTTCCTACCATCCAATTCAAATCTCTTGACACTATGGTATTTCATAACGGTGCAAATGAAAGAGATAGTTACTTATTTTACTTATGTCTGTTACCCATCATGGAAGAGGATAGACCGGTCATCAGTAGTCCCCATCCAATTCTCTCCTGAACAATTCTTTCCAGTTGTTTCCAGTTGTTATTCATTATTTTCATGTCTACTTCCGATTCCCAGCACAGTGTGTTCTTCGGGCTTCTTCTTTTCTGTTTCCCTTCAGGATTCCAACTTAACACTTGCTTCATGATACAGTTTGATGATTTCTTCAATGTAGATCCTATCTACTTCCATCGTCTTTTCCTAATTTCCTTTTCAATTGGAAGTTGGTTTGTTTTCTCTCATAGTAAGCTAAAGTAGCAATTAAGGTAGAATAAATTGATTTCATTTTATTACGTGATTTCTCTATAACCGTTCACAACTACATTCGTATTGAAGTGTAACATTGTTATATAAAATAGTATGAAGTAATGGACATGATTGACCGTAACATGTAGAATAACAACAGTTCTTAGCGATACCTCTCTCTCTCCATATATATATATATATATATATTCATGTGTATATAGGTGTCAGGTCAAGTGAAGAAGGGATTCAAAAGTATAGGGAGGTGACCCAGTATTTCACTGGAAATGTTTATTCGTTACTACTTCATCGATATGTAAAGAAACTGTGTCGATTTGTCTGTTGATAATTTGTAGGTAGTGTCAAGTGTCAATAATATTACTTACTTACTTACGCCTATTACCCCCCGTGGAGTAGCATAGACCACCAACCTCCATTCCTCAACCAACTGTCCTTCCCTCTACTTTCCACTTGTTAACAAGCGTTATTCATCCTGTTAATGTCTGCTTACAATTCCTGACACAATGTGCTTATTGGTTTGCCTCTCATCCTTTTCCATTTAGGATGACAAGTTAGGGCTTGTCTTGTGTTGCAGTTGGATGATTTCCACAATGTATGTCCTATCCACTTCCAACGTCTTTCCCTAATTTCCTCTTGAACTGGAAGGTGGTTTGTTCTCTCACACAGTAGGTTGTTACTGATGGTATCCGGTCTACGGATATTGAATACCTCGCGTAAACAATTAATAATAAATACTTGTACTTTTTGATAATGGTAATGGTACTTCTCCAAGTTTTAGCACCATATAGTAGAATTGCTTTGATGTTTGTAATAAAGAATCTGACTTTGGTATTGGTTGATAGTTGTTTTGAGTTCCATATGTTCTTTAGTTGTAGGAATGTTGCTCATGCCTTTCTAGTCCATTCCTTTATATCTTCATTAGATAATATACCTGCAACCAATGAAGTATCGAGTTATTACATTGTTTACATCAGTTACAACTTTTAATTTAATTGTCATCAATTCTTTATTCATTTTTTAGTTCGTGAACTTTGTTTTTTAAATAGCTCATCTGTGAATAAAATCATTAATATGGACCTTGCGAAATTCATCCCGTCTGATTTGGATAGTTTAACATCTATTGCTAGAAAATTATCTGTTTATCTAGATGGTAAAAACTACAAAGTAAGTTATTATTATGAATGGCTGATTCTGATGATTTGTGATTGTTCTATGTATTCCGTTAACATAAATGAATAATCGCTATAGGGTTGTGGAGACTATTAAGTTTTTGATTGAGATCATGAACCGATTGATGTCAGACGACCATTGAAAACCTAGAAGCACTGAACGGCCGTGTCGTCCTGTTGTGGGACTCCTCAGCAGTGCGCAACCACGATCCCGCTCGCGAGGTTCGATCCCAGGGTATTCGGTCTACCGCGCGAACGCATAAACTACTGGACCACTGAGCTGGCCGCCATCCAATGGTGTTAATGTTTAACCTCAACCAATCCACGAAATTGCGCAACCATCTACCACTGTAGTGAGGTAGACACCTGTTTCTACCCGGCACGAATTAGTCCCGCTGATCTTACCTTCTCACCAGAACTCCGAGAATTTTCTCACGAAGTTAGTCACTAGTGAGCACATGATAATTGGATGAATCTATTTCAATTGCTAGTAATATTGTGTAATGATAGAGACATGTGGGAAGTTGTCAATTAATAGTTTTTCTCCCCATGAGAGAATATTTCTTTTGTGAGACTTAAGAAGTAAAATAGGTTACAAGTGGTTCAGACTATCTGAAAGCATGACCTCAGTTTTTGTTAGATCCCGATAAGCATAATGAAAGGTAACTTTTGGATCCATTTGCGGATTAATACTAAAGGTATATTTTTGTCGTATAATTGTTAAATAACTAAACTATTCATATTCCTCTCATTATATTGGTACGTTGTGGTCTGTTTGATTGGTATATAAACTCAGAATGTTTGTAATATAACGATGCATATCGCAGAGGCTGAGACTTGTGTTCTGAACTTAACTGGATGGACTAGGCGGGAAGCAGGACCGGTAAATATTCTAGACTGCTCGTACTTGTTTTATGCGTCATTGGTCTTGTAGATAATTCACTGTTCTCTAATTGGCGGTATCATTGCACTATACAATAATAAGGACACAGCCCACAAGTTATAACGGTTTTCAAGTGATAACCGTTTTGATGTGGGTCATAAGAATCCTTTTTTGAGTAGACTTAGATGAATTATGTTATAACATTCATTCAGTCCTAGTAAGTAGATAGACATTCTCAAGGTTACTTTAACGTCGCTCAAAGATCATCCATTAATCATCGTTTTACTGATATTTCTCATCTAATGAGTTAATTAACAGTTTTACAGTAAATAGCTTCTTTTCTTTATAGCGTGATAATGGAACTTTATATTCTGTGAATTCCTTCAGTTAATCCAAACCTAATTTTTAAAAGTACTTTTATAGTTGAAAAATAAGGATACATTTATAATATCTTAATTAGTTGCTAATTGAATTTTTTTTTAAAACTTTTCATGACTTTAGAGAGTAAGTAACTGAATTCTGTTGTTAACAATCGATTCAGTACTTAATTTATACCAAATTATTATTTCAAACATTGATAAAGTTGCTTATTATCAAGTTTGTATTTTAATTATATTTCTTATACAGTGAAAATAGTCTACTATTTTTCTAATGAAATAAACAATTGAGATGTGTTTGCAATGAATTACCAAGCGGATTAATAGTTGCTTAAATTTCTTACTTGATAATAAGATGATCTGCAAAATGATTTTTGAGCGACTACTTTAATCCTTAGAAGTTAATCGTTTCAGTTTAATCATAGTATGGGGTTCCTTTGAAAATAGGAGTGCAATTGATATATGTCCCATCTATGTATTGTTTTCTACTACGAGATAAACCTCTACACATTTTCAGTCAACATTTCATCAATCTGTCAAATCACCAAGATTCAAATACTGTTTACTACACCATTTTATTAAATAAAACTCAGCAGTTTTCATAACCTCATACTGACTGTTATAATTTGCTCAATAGTGATTAGCTTCGAGAGAAAAGTCCTAGAGTTCTAGTGAGAAACCGTGACTAATCAAGTTCAGTTAAGTCGGATGTAGGTAGATAATACAAGATGGTTGTTCAGTTTCGTTGGTTGATTGATACCGACTTAGTGGTCTAGATGTTAAACATCTTGAGGAGAGATTATAGGTCCTAGATCTGATGTACGAATGAACGGTCGTGGATGTCCACTGTTGAACAAAATTCGTTGCTAAGACGAGAATCGGTCTTTCAATGTTACCAAGTTTTCAATGCTTGTCTTAGTTAGATCAGTTTATTATATCAATAAAATTCAATAATCTCAAACGTCTTCTGATAATGAACTTCAGTTTTTTAACAACGGTAATGAGTGATATAATATTGTGAAAATATAAACAGAACAAACATATGCTACTTTGCCCTTATCTCTTCTTCACTAAGTATTTGGATGAAATTTATCATTTTACGGTAATATAATTTATTTCATAAACCAAATAAGACTGAAGTCCGAATTAATTGGTTTAATAAAGTGTTATATCCCGATGAGAATAATGAATGATAACTGTTAGGTTATATTTCTGAACTAATACTGTACGTATATTTTTATCTTATAACTATTATGCAACTAAACTATTCATATTCGTGTCTTTCTTATTATGAGCTTTGTTTTGATCTATGGACTGTTATTATACGATTTACCATTCTTGAGTTATGCTCTGTCTATCAATTACTATCTCCCACATTCATAGCCACATTTGCCTAAATCTTGTACAAATGTTGTTTCCTATTTTATGATACAATGTGGTCTGTTTGGTCGGTATATAAACCCAGTATGTTTGAAATACATGATTCATATATCAGAGGCTGAAATTGGTGTTCTGGACTTAACAGGAAGAGCTAGGCGGGAAGCAGGACCGGTAAATATTCTAGACTGCTCGTATTTGTTTTATGCGTCATTGGTCTTGCAGATAATTTACTTTTCTTTAATTGGCGATATCATTACGTTATACATTAATAAGGACACAGGGGACAAGTTATAACATAAAGAAATCGTGAAATAATCGTATAAAGATGGGTCAATTAGAATAAAAATCGTAACTTTTAATATTTTGTGTGAAACTCAAATATTATACATAATGTACAATAATAGTATTTGTGTACAGTACTCAGAATGTTTAAAATAATAGTAAATATTACTTGTTTTCAAAAACATTATGAAAATAACGGTCTTGAAGATATCATATGTTAAGCTCTTTCTCTATAGATTGTATAACACATACATCGTCACTATCTTCAATTCTTAACCCTAAACACTTGAACGTAATCTTGAAATCTACTTGGACCATGTACTCACTAGTTACTAGTTTCGTGAGAAAATTCTCGGAGTTCTAGTGAGAAGCCGTGACCAGTGGAGCTAATTCGTGTCGTGTAGAAACAAGTGTCTACCTCACTACAATGGTACATGGTCACGCAATTTCGTGGATTGGTTGAGGTTAAACATTGACACCATTGGATGCCGGTCAGCTCAGTGGTCCAGTAGGTTAAGCGTTCGTGCGCTAGACTGAAGACTCTGAGATCGAACCTTGTGAGGCGGGATCGTGGTTACGCACTGCTGAGGCGTCCCACAATAGGACGAAATGGATGTTCAATGCTTCCAGTTTTTCAATGGTGGTCTAACATCAATCGGTTCATGATCTCAATCAAAAGCAATTGTTTTAGATGGCTGATATATGTATTTTTTCATATAAGCATAACCATTTTATCGACTTACAAACAGAGTAACTTGTAGAAGACCTTAATGTATTCACCAATTCTATCATATTATTGTTTTCTTTTCTATAATCTATCCATTCTTGAAAACTGTCTTGTGATTGGTTAAGAACTGACTTGAAATACTTAACGATTAGTTCAAGCTCATTCTTATAATACAGTCTCATCAAAAACTAGATTATAAACTAAACAGTCACTAGAGAGACATGTGTGGTTGTGTAACATAGAAATACTGAGTTGAATGGACAAATGACTATTTATATAATAGCAGTTTTTATCACGAAATGGAATCAGCTTCAAAATCATTCGAGATTGATTAGGGTATTGAAAGGGTGTTTTTCATCTTGCTATTACTTAATTGCCATACATGAGACTAAATTCACAATTCTCTTTACACTCGGTCAATAAAATTCACAAAGCTGTAATTAACTTGAAAATCCCTTAATAAGGTTGCTAAATCCTTTAATAAAGATATCTGGTAAAAGGAACATGCCATGATGGAAAAATCTTATTTGAAATTTCAAATAAATGTTCATTAGAACCAATTTTTAGTGTAAAGAAAAAAAATGTTTGAGCAGGATAACATGAATTTATTTCATATCAGAACGAACAAATCATTGACGAACATTGAAAAGTGACAGAGAGACAACTGTCATCTACAAAATTTCATTAGTAAATAGAGAGAAGCTAAAGACAACAAGTTAAAAGTAGCTACAATCGATAAAATTCCTATCGTTTTACTGCTCCACTTCAAGAGTGATAATGCTCCTGAAGGCTCAATGTCGTATTAATTAGAATCAACTCTAGAGTCAAAGTAACAGTTCATCATATGAACGTGTTCGAAAAATCCATTGATTGAGAGACCTAGAGATGTTGAGTACCGCAATTCGTTAACATTATTTGAACATAAGACATTACTTATTACCTTAAAGCTCTTCGAGTGATTATTGAACAACAAACGCCTAGTACTCATAATTTTACTGAAGCTACGAGAATCATATATTGAAAATCTGACTTATGTAGTCATTATCTCCTTACTTTAACAACATGAATTCTATTATACCGTTATGTCACCTTTTAGATTCTTATAGTTTAATAATTTTGTTTTCAATTAACTGAGTTTTACATTATTCTATATTTGTTCGTCAATAACGTTTATGTATTGAGTAATTAATTGTTTCTAACCATTATCAATGTCCCAGAATGTTCTTCTGTACATGATGTTTACTTGCAATATTGTATTTAGTTAGATAATGGCTAGCAGTGGAATCCATAATGAGCATCTCGTTCTAGTTGGGTTCCGTTACCTAGGTATACCTGCATCCCAGAGTTGATGTTCGCCTTCGGAATCGAACCCAGTACTGTTTGCTTCATACGTCATCGCGTTATCCACTTAACTAATGAGTCCTGACAGACACCTGCTTGTGAAATGGGTTGAAGTTTTAAATTCACTTGGTATTGTTTACTTGTATCTTCCCATGGATGTTTAAGACTGCAATTGATTAATCTCTCATTAGTTTATGTGCATCCTGTGTATCCAGCTGACGAGTTTCAAATAGGAAGAAACGCGCGTCCTGGATTCCAGTGCTATCCACTACTCATCTTTGCTTAAAAAGCTTGTGAATTAAGGCAATATCCAGGAAATCCACACAGAATGCACATATACCAACAAGAGACTAATCAATCACAATCCTAAATAACAATGGGAAGATTCAAATAAACAACACCAAGTAAATTGAACATGTAACCATTTGTATATCATTCATTGACATAAGTTTTCATTTTATATATTTTCTTTTCTTTGCTTTCTTCTCCTTCTTCTTCTTCTTCTTCTTCTTCTTCGATTTCTTTATCAATGAATTAGCCTACTATTCAAGAAATTATTCATTTTATATCAATAAAATCAAATTTATTGAATTATTTAAATGAAATTAAAAAATTTATACAATTCAATGGAACCATGTTTAATTTAATCGATATTATTGATCAGATCAATAATTCATTAATTATGTATGATCAAATTACCAAATCAATTAATCCATTAATTAATTTATTTGAAAAACTTGAAATCAATAAAAATTTAACACAACGACTTGATCAAATATTGAATGGATTGAATAACTTCAAAAATGTAAGTAATTCATTATTTGATAAATCATTTGTAATGATTATTGAATTTCAATAATTGAGATCATGAATCAATTGAAGTTAGATTATCATGAAAAACTTGAAAATACTGGATGATTGTTTCATTCTATAGAATCATCATTGTGTCATATGGCCTACTAGTTATTACGTCATTTATTCGCCAACCGACATACAACTTATTCAATCTTACTACTGTACAAAACCAATCATGTTCATCCGATTTCATCAGCCTACCATCCTATCGATCCGTTGCTCGTCTAACCCATCCAGTTGAGTCCACAATGTCAATAACAACCTCCATTATGCGATTCGTTTATTTCAGACATACTGGGTTTATATACCAATCAAACAGACCGCAATGCACCATGAAATAGGAAATAACATTTATACACAATAAAGTCAAAATGTGGTTGTGAACGTGGGAGACTCTAGTTAATAAACTGAACATAACTTAAGAACAGTAAGCCGTATAATAATAATAACTAATGGGTCAAAATGGAGCTTATAATAAGAGGAATATAGATATCCATAATCTAAATACTGAATAGTTATACCATAAGAATATACAGATAATATTAGTCCATTAATAAGTTTCAGAAGTTATTCGTAATTTAATCTTCGCTAAGATATAACAGTTATCTTAGATGATCATTAACCATTAGAAAGTAATCGACAGTTATCATTCAATAGTAATGTGACTATAATTATATTGAAAATAAAACTCAAGGTCTTTAGTTTAAGAGAGCAGAGTTTAAATGTTATACAACTAAGTCATCAGTTAATGATTGTTATGTTTAGTTTTAATCAATACGTGATATTGCATAAATGTATTAGGTGTCAAATAGTTTTCTTACCAATGATATTAAAAGATGGTTCAAGAACATCGCAAACTAATTGAAGTTAAACATGTAAATCATTAGATGTGAATTCAGTGGTGTAAATGTTGATTTCTTGGCACGAGACTCGAAGATCCTAATTTCAATCCATTGTCGTAATCACACTGATTTCTATGAAACAATGGTACGTGTTAAATAAACATATTGGATAGAGATAGGGTCCAATTACTTGTAAATAATCATTTGCCAAGTGGTAGCTAGTTGAACAACATCTTTTCTGTTCGGACTGTTCTGATTAGCATATATATACAGCGCTTCTGATGTCGATTTTTCTTTACGTGAGCCAAACTCTTTCTGAAGCATTTTGTTCCCTTCAGAACTGATCTTGTGATCTGTTTCTAATATATGTAAAGCTATCATCAACCTTTTCACAAGTTTTTCTAGATCAATCGAGGATTTAGGAACACGTTTCAAATATTATTTGTGTTACTCCAACCCCACATTCAAATGTCTAGATGTTTCTCCCACATAAACTGCATTGGAATCATAACAGTTGATCTCATTGACAATATTCTGTTTTTCTTCCTTCGGAAACATACCCTAAACTTTCACTAATGCTGACCTTATGGTATCACTATCCCTAAAATACACTGTTATATTATACTTGTACCAATAACCTATCGCTACATTTTTGGATTACCTAATTGTTCAGCCAAGATACAATTTATTTTTTCAGTATAGGGTTTTGGGGATCGCTTTTTTAATCGAAATCATGTTGCACTACTATTGAAGACCTGTAAGCATTGAAAGGACATTTCATCTTAATATTAAACTCCTCAGCAGTGTTCATTTATAGCCTCGCATACGGGACTCGTCAGTCGGCTACAACGTAGGACCAGGCACATATATGCATCGGTTCAAGTTGCCATACCTCATTATCACAACAAGATGAACACCAAAATTCATAGAAGTAATTAATTCAATGGTGGTAATATATAAAAAAAGATTGCGTATAAGGACACAAGTACAGGAAGAAAGAATTAGTGAGTAGAAAGAAAGATATAAAAGAATTTTAATCTCATCATTTAAAGGAAGACAAAATATGTATACATCTACACCATTGTAATCGATTCTAAGCTCAAGACCTTCAATCTTAATCTCTAAACCACTAACCCAACATTCAACATTGTTCATATCTAACTTTAACTTTGAATTACTAACATGACTGATGAAGAATGCTGTTAAAGGTATGAGGTCGGTTATCACTTTCCGGTTGCCTACACCGCAGAAGGGTTGTTCTGCGGGTACCTGAAAAGGAAATTGGATTACAGGTGGTCATAGTGACCTTGGAGCGTGCCCAAGGGACAACTGCTTGAGGTCGGTCACACACGACCTCTTTATGGGTAATTTTTGTGTTAGCTCCGTACTTGTTGAAACCTTACCGCCGGAGACGGATATCCGTGATATAAGGCGAGGTGTGCATTTCTAGGGCCGACCTTTTCTAACTCCAGCCCTCCTTGTGGGAAGGCAGCATCGCTGTCATACTGGTTGTCTGAAGGAAACACCTTACTGCTGTCACACCTCTGTACAGTCAGCAGTGTGACTTCTCCTTCGGACCTTGGGTTTGTTGCTTTTAGTCTTACCGCTCTTCAACCGACCTGGTTGACATGGTAGGACCTAGAGGAATGGTTGTTCCAGCCAGTATAGGTCGGTTGCTTCATCAAGATAGGCAAGCCCGACCATCACGTCAAGGTAGCAATAAGGATCGCGGCATGATTGATGTACCATTCAAACAGTCAATCATTCTATTCACTTTTATGATAACTTACATCTTTTTTTTCCTCGCTCTCCCTCTCATAGATTTCATCTGATCCTCAAAGATTGAGCGAATCCATACGTTTAATATTTAATTCATCTATTCAATCTTTATTAAATCATACAAGTACATTATTAAATAATCAATTTGAACAATTACTTGCTAATATTATACCATGTAATAATATTAATAAAATATTAATGATTATATTAAATCTATTTTGTAATAGAACAAATAGTAATATATTAAGTTTAGGATGTTTTATATTGATTATATCGATATCCTATTTTTTATTGATTATTACATTATTTATTTTTATCATATATTCTAGAAAACATATTGATTTATTGATTTATACAAAATGGGAAAATATTCCATTATATAATTCTGTGAAATTATGTTATAAACTTCTTAAATATAATTAGTTGTTTGTTTGTTTTTATTATTATTATAATTATTATAAAAAGTTGTACGGTGTAAGATGGAACAATTTTGTGGATTGGTTGATGTTAAATATTAACACCGTTGGATATCGTCCAGCTCAGTGGTCTAATGGCTAAGCACTCGTGAGCGAGACTAATAGGTACTGAGGGGGCGAGATTGTGAATGCGCACTGCTGAGCAGTCCTATACTGGAACGAAACGGCCTTTCAGTGCTTCAAGGTTTTTCATGGTGGTCTAGCTTCAATTGACTCATGATTTCAACTATTGAAATTTCCAAAATCTCCACAAAACCCTTGAGGATTCCACGTGAGGTTTTGCCTTGGGACGCAGTTCGGTGCTTTCCTCAATGTGTGTCCTATCCACTTCCAGCGGTTCTTCCTGATTTCGTCCTCCACCGGGATCTGGTTTGTTTTCTCCCACAGTTGGTTGTTGCTAACAGAGTCTGGCCAACAGATTCGAAGTATTTTGTGTATACAGCTGTTAATAAACACTTGTATCTTCTGAATGATGGCTTTCGTAGTTCTTCAGGTTTCGTGATGCAGTTTGATGATTTCCTTATTCTACGTCCTATCCACTTCCAACTTCTTTTCCTAATTTCCTCTTCAGTTGGTTTGTTCTCTCTTACAGTAGGCTGTTGCTGATGGTATCCTGCTAATAGATATTGAGTATCTTGAATAGAAAGCTATTCATAAATACTTCTACCTTCTCGATGATGGTTATGGTAGTTCTCCACGTTTCAGCTCCGTACAGTAGGACCGTCTTGACGATCGTACTGAAGACTGTGACTTTGATATTAGTTGAAAGTTGTTTTGAGTTCCGTATATTCTTCAATTGTAGGAATGTGGCCTTTGCTTGGCCAATCCTCGCTTTTAAGTGTGTATCCGACCCTCCATGTTCATCGATTATGCTTCCCAGGTACATGAAAGAGTCCACATCTTCCAGAGCTTCTCCATCAAGTGTGATTAGGTTGATGTTCTTCATGCTGTATTTGAGCATCTCAGTTTTCCCTTTGTGTAAGTTGAGGCCTACTGCTGCACAGTCTGCTGCTACACTAGTTGTCTTCATCTGCATTTGTTCGTGTGTATGGGACAGAAGAACCAGATCATCTGCAAAGTCCAAATCTTTTAATTGATTCCGAGCTGTCTATTGTATTCCATGTATCCCCTCAGATATCTAACTCTTCATAACCCAGTCAACCACCGTAAGAAAGAGAAAGGGGGAGAGTAAGGTGTCTTGTCTGCCTCCGGTCTTCACTTGGAATGTATCTGTCACCTATCCCCTATGTACCACTTAGCAGTGTAGTTCGTCTCACGAACTTCGGATGGTGTTGACGATATTCCCAGCTACTCACTCCATAGTGTCGAAGAAGTCTCCATAATGTTGTCCTATCCACTCTATCAAACGCCTTCTCATAATTGAGGAAATTGACGTATCGTGACGAGTTCCATTCAACTAGTTGTTCAACGATGATCTGTAGCGTCGTGAATTGGTCTGTGCACGACCGCTCCTTACGGAATCGGGTTTGTTGATCTCGGAGCTAGTCGTCTACTTAGTCTTTAATCCGGTTCACCAACACTCAGTTGAAAATCCTTCCTGTTACTGACAGTAGTAGTTCTCACATATGCTCAGATCTCCTTTCTTTGATAAATCGATGAGGTGTCGTTCTTTCTAGTCTGTAGGCACTTGTTACTCCTCTCAAACCTTTCTGAATAAAATGTGCAACAAGATTGTAGTTGATTTTATGTCCGATTTCAGTGCTTCATACGGTATTCTATCTAGTCACACCGCTTTCCCACTCTTGATTTGTCTGATTTACATGCTAATGTTTTCGATTGTTAATGTGATAACATTTATAAGAAGGTTTATAATTGTAGCTTCGATATTCATTAGGTTCAGTTCGGCTAATCTATTCAAAAGTTCTTCTTCTCATAACTTACATCAAATTAAATCAAGCTGATTTATATCAGTCATAGCACATATTCATTTGTTTTTACTTAGAAACTATTAGTTTCATGATTGTACTTAACAAGAGGATATTAGTTTCAGTGGAACACTCACATATAAGAATGTAGTTATCTAAAAAATCTGTAACATTATAACATTCATTTTAAGGATAACAATGATAACGATAGTGATATTGACTATAAAGTAAATGTAAAACCAAAAACAAACAAAACAAATAAACAAACACAAAAATTTCGTTTCCATTATGAATCAACAAATATAACCCAATTTAAACAAATAGATCAATGAAAATAAAAATAGAAAAAAAAGAAAAAAGAAAACGAATGGAAAATAACCAAACGACTAATATCACATCACATTGAACATTGAAAATGACAAATCGATATTTTTGTTTATTCAAAACAAAAAAACAAAAAAAAGCGGAACCAAACAAAACACAAGATGAATAGTTTTCAATAGAAAAATCATATATTGACATACGATAAAAATGTTGTTTATATGCTGGTATCAACTAATAGCTCTTCACAACATATATCAACAAACAATTTAGAAAAAAAGATGAAAAGATAAGGTGAAATGACTTTATGAAAACTTCATCTATATGGAACATTCATTAGTCACATTTAGTTGTTCTTCCTCTTCTTTGTTGTTGTTGTTGTTGAAATATGGAGTTTATCTTCTAATGAAGTGATCATTAAAACACACATCACATAAATGGCAACACAAATTATGACAGGAAGACAAAACAAATAATAAATCAAGCAGTCTGTTTTTTTTGTTTATGTAGTAATTCATAAGAAACTGACTATTTAGATGTTGAATTTGTTGATGTTTCATCTGTTGTCGGCTTCTCAGTATTTTCAACCGCTTCTTCAGCCTGAAATTAGAATTACATCAAGTACATAAGATGCAATTCAGTTACATAGTATATATATATATATATATATATATATATATATATATATATATATATTCAAATTTAAACACATGACTTCTATAACAGTGAGATTTATCATTGACATACCAAACAATCACAATTAAATGATTTTTATACAGATTGACTTATCCTCATGTTGATATTTTGACTGAACTTCGATCAGTCTTGGTTGTTATATGTGTATCCAATGTGGATTGACTGGATATTGGCTATTACGACTCAAGTTTAAATAGAATAGAGGAATTATGGTTAGGTTTGGAATTATGGACGCACGTTTCATCCTTTTTGGGACTTATTAGTTAGGTGTATCTGAATCTCAGGATTGATGTTCGTTCCGGGACTTAAAATCAGTTGATTTTAATATAGACATTAACACATTATCCACTTAGCTTCTTAATCGAAATAGCCACTAACTAGACCCCAATTATGAATTCCGTTACCAGCTATATCCCATTCAATCGATTTAAGCATACCATCTTGTATGTAAATATTAGAAAATTACTTATAGAATCTACTGTTTCACTAATTGGAAAAACTTATTTACTTTCGTTTCTCGGAAGTAAATACACAGTTAATTTTCTTCAAATGTACTGAAGAGTTTAGTGACTAGTATTTTGTCTGTAATATTGGATTACCACGTAACAAATCTAGTGTCAGTATCATGAATCATGTCAACTACTGGTTTGCATGTCTACCTTACTCAGTCCCCAGCATTATACACCCATCTTACGATGACATCGGTGACTAATTGCCTACAGTGGTCTGAAGGTTCTGAGTTCGCTCTACAATAATATTGTTATGCATGGACAGCATTGACTAGTCCTGTACTAAAATGAAACCAGTGGCTTTCACTGGTTGTTTAACCAAGATGATGTAAACCATGAAATCCAACGATCTCCATATAACCTCACTAATAGGTATCATCTATAAATAAATGTTATCACAGATGAATCACTGTAGCTTCTAAGATAACTAATTGAGAAAAGCTTATTAATATTTTTAAATAGCATAATCTTATGAATATACTAAATATAATTTAAGTACTAAATGGTCAATGTGACATCTTATATTACCCATATAAATAAATAGGATGAAGAAAACTTTCAGTAAACTTACATCTTTTTCCTTCAATTTAGGGATTAAAACAACTTTACCGATATTCTTCCTTTCTTGTAAACGCATCATAGCCTCTTTAGTCTGCAATTAGAAAGAAGTATCATTTTAAAAACAACTAGCACTAAGATATTTCATGAAAGATATATATGTAAGTAAACGAAAACTTCTGTTAACCAAGTCAATAAGAACTATATCACCCTTAATGAAGTCTATTTCCGATGAAATCAAAAATCAAAATTCAAACAGTAGCTTTGTAAACAGTCCAAAACAATCAAATAAACTTGAAATTATTCAATCAATCAAAAGAAACAATCTTGATTAACTGATTGTTTGAGTTTTATGAACTAAATTAATCTAGTTTATCAGTTGATAAACATCAAATGATCTACAAGAGTTTATGTATTAAAATCAAACAACATTCAGTAACTAACAACATTAATCATTCGCTCAACTAATCAGTAATATTGGGAAGAAGTATTGTTTATTTATTATTTATTTTAACACACAGATATTGGTACAAGGAGGCACCAAATACATATGCGCCACACAGATCTCACTTGATATGTGTGAGGGCTGCGATATTGCCCAAGTTCCAAAAACAACATAGGTGGTTTCCTTAGGGGGCCACACCCGGAGCCTTCGACCTGAAGGTCTGATCCACAAGGCAGTGGAGCAACGTCATGAGATGGTGGCCGGTGACCAACGATTGGTTCATACGCCATTTGTTCCCGAGGGATACTGGAGCCCATGTGCACGGTGGGTTTGGAATCAGGGTTTTCCAACTCCCCTAGGTGGACTCTCCATGTCCACCAACCCGGTTAAAGCACCGGACATTTGCTTTACGTCCTCTCAATTTCGTAAACAATACCCCCTCCACGAAAAAGCAATGATTACGACTTCTCTGACAGAGGCTATATACACGTGGCCATGTGAGGGCGTTTCGAGAGGGAGAGCAAACTCTCCG